GGTTGTTAGCTACCATGTGGGCACTGGGAATTGAGCCTGGGTCATCTGCAAGAGCAGCCAGTGCTCTTAACCACTGAGCCATCTCTCCAACCCCCAACTTTTTTTACATTTTGTGTGTGTGTGTGTGTGTGTGTGTGTGTGTGTGTGTGTTTGTATACAGGCATTTCTAGTTTGCCTTCAGTTGCTGTGACAAAACACTCTGACCAATATCAACTTGGGGGAGGAAAGGGTTTATTTATAAAGTTTTACATCTCCCGGGTCACAGTTCATCAGGGAACCCAATGTAGGAACTCAAGGCAGGAACTTGGAGGCAGGAGCTGGAGCACAGACCATGGAGGAATGCTGCTTACTAGCTTGCTCCTCTGACCTGTGCTCAGCCTGCTTTCTTATGCGACACAGGCCCACCTGCCTGGGGGTGGCACCACCCACAGTGGGCTGAACCCTCCTACATCTCTCAACAATCTAAAGAAAGTGCTCCACAGACATGGCCACAGGCCAGTCCAATGAAGACAATTCAAGTTGACAACAAAAGCTATCCACAGCGTGTGTGCGGGTATGTGTGCGTGTATGTGGCGCACACCTTTAATCCCACTACTGGGAGGCAGAGGCAGGCGGTCCTCTGTGAGTTCCAGGCCAGCCTCATCTACATAGTGAGTTCCAGGCCAACTGGGCTGCAGGGAGACCCTGTCTCAAAAAGACAAAGAAAAAAAAAAGGTAAAACACAGATAGGTGAAATCCCACCTCCTACCCTCTTGAGCAGACTGTTTCTGACCTGGTTACTCCATAAAAAATAAGTAAAAGAAAGCTGGAGAGATGGCTCAGTGGTGAAGAGCACTGGCTCTTGCAAAAAAAAACCTGGATTTGGTTCCCAGCACTAACAAGCATCCATAACTCCAGGTCCAAGGGATCAGATGCCCTCTTCTGACCTCTCCTGGCATTGCATGACAGCGGTTCACTTACACACATGCAGACAATATACTCATAAAATAAAAATAATAAATAAAATATATTTTAAAAGAAGTAAAAGAGGCTGTCGCAGTCAGTACCCAGAGGAAACTGACATGTAATTCCCTTCAGTGAGGTCTGTATAATGAAAGGGCCTCAAGTCCATGATGGGCCCTTGGGGTCAGAGAGAGAACATTAGATAGAAACAGTAATACAGAGCTATCTGAGCATGATGCAGCTTAAAGGGAAGGAGAGACTCCCCTTAAAGCCTGGAGAGAAGCTTCATTTAAAGTGGGAATAAGAGAAGTGGGGGGGGGGGGGGCTATCAGCATCCTTCCTCTCCAGACCAAATCTCAAATCTTCAAGCACTTTCTCTGTGGAGTCACAAACCAATCCCCTGAACAAAGGAGAGGTCTGACTTTTTATAACCTTTTAGGAGTGGTGGGAAGCTTCACATCACATGATCTAGTTCAGCACAAGGTACATGACAGGGTGCATGGAGGAGCCAGGTACCACAAATTGAGAGCTGTCAAGTCATGGCACCTACTGCTTCTTTAACCGTCTGTCCTGAGCTTCAGGGTGGTGTAGCCTGATTCAGGCTGTGGGCTCTCTTCTGACACACTGCCTCAGGGATGCTCCTGGATTGTATGTGATTAGCCCAACCTCGGGATGGCCCACGTCAGTGCCTGGCTGTGTTGCTGACTCACCTGCCCACTCACCCGCTTCCTTCTCCCTCCCCAAGGTACCCAAAGCAGAAATGGAGGAAGGGGGCTGCGTCCAACCTTGACATTCACAGTATCAGTGGTAACAAAAGAACCAACCTGTGGAACAGGAGAAAAGATTTGCAGATGTGAATCCAGTCAGGGGACCACAGCCAGATGTTCTATGTGTCCCCCTGGAACATACTGAGGGGGTTCAGGGCTGATGGTGGAGGGCAATTAGAAAAGGAAGCCCACCAGTCTCCAAGGAGGACCAGGAGCCACTGCTCAGAAGGTCCATGCTGCTTTCCAAGAGGGTTATGAGCACCCCACTAGCTGACCTGCAGGAGGCACCCCCTGACTCCCTGACATCCCCCCCCAGGGGCCTTCCACCAATAGGACCTCCCAGTTCAGAGAGTTCTAGGGCAGAAAGTGGCAGATCCTGCCAGCAAGACTCACCAGCCTGGTGTTAGTCCCACATCTTAGGGAAACTCACTCCCACAAACAGGAATTGTGGCCACTATGGGTTCCATGCCTGTGGTGCGAGGCCCGAGTCCACATGGGTTCAACTGCAGTGGCTGGTGTTGACAGCCACACCCTGTGCCACCAAATGCCCTACTTCAGCTTTGTAATGACCTTAGGAAGTGGGCATCACAAAAGTGTTCCCATTGACAGGAGGAAACCAAGGCTCGGGGAGGTCACATCACTGACTAGAGGGCACGCATATAGTGAGTGACCACTAGATTCATTTCAATTCAGAGGTATGGTTGAACCTCTGAAACAACAGGGCCACAGATCAAGAAGTTTGCGGTCTGCCCACAGGCAGCCACAGGTGTCTTCCTGCATGAGCACACAAACTTGATCAGAGTTGACCAAGCCCTTGTGCTCTCTGTGGACTGTGCATATTTCTGGAATGAGATATATTAAGTGCATTAAATTTCCTGCTGCTTTAGGTATGACCCAAGTCAGATGTGGTGTGGTGGTGAACACCTATCCCAGCACTTGGGAGGCTGAGGCAGGAGGTTCATAGGTTTGAGGCTAACCTGGGCTACACAGTTCCAGGCCAGCCTGTATTACATAGCAAGAGCGTGTCTCAAAAAAGCAAGAGATAAAGATAAAATACTAATAATCAAAGCCTTCCAGATTCAGAGTGAAGATGAAAACTACCCAGGGTACCTGGAGACAGAGACCAGTCAGTCTTATACCAACGGAGCAAATGCCTAGGGTGGGAAGACAGACTGTAGTTCAGGGTTCTCAAAATGCAACAAGTGTGAAGGGCAGATGCGCTCGCTTGGACAAAGCTGGGTTAAGGTTGATCCAGAGCGATGGAGGAAGATGCTCCAAGCAGTGGCTCTCGAACCCAGTGTGTCAGAATTGTTCATATGGGGACTGGAGAGATGGCTCAGCAGTTAAAAGTACTGGCTGCCCTTGCAAAGGACCTGGGTTCAAGTCCCAGCACCCACATCACAGATAAAAACTGTTCTTAACTCTGGTTCCAGGGGATCCAGCTCCCTCTTCTGGCCTCTTCAGGCATTGCACAACACTGGTGCACTTACAATGCATGCATGCAATATATTCATACACATAAAATTAAAATAATAAAAAAATTTTGGGGGGGCTTTTTGAGACAGGGTCCCCCTGTAGTCCCAGCTGTCCTGGAACTCACTATGTAGATGAGGCTGGCCTTGAACTCTCAGAAATCCGTCTGCCTCTGCCTCCCAAGTGCTGGGATTAAAGGTGTGCGCCACCATGCCTGGCCAATAAAATAATTTTTTAAAAAATTTCAAATACTTCTTAGTACACCAGTCACTGAGGACACCCTCAAAATGTCCAATTTAGTAAGACTGGGGTTCAGACTAAGAATCTGCCTTTTTAACAGGCCCCTAGGTAGGTCTGGTGCTGCTAGCTTCTGACAGTGCCCTGGAAACCCAGTGCAAAAAGAGCTGGAGCCAAGTCTCACAGAGCAGTGAGCTGGAGAGGCAGCTGCAGCTGAACAGAGGGACAGGGACGCTGGTCAGAACCTGTCGGCTGACATTAAAAGAAAGCTTCTAAACTTCCCATGGCATTTTTCCATTGCATTTACTCAAATGCCATCAGAGCCCAAGTGTTGATTGACATGAATCATTGGTTCCCTGAGGGAGGTGGAGACACCTGACCCTTTGCCCAGTGCCCAGAGGTTAAAGTACGCATTCAAGAAATACGACATAAGCCAGCCCTGGTGGCACAGACCTGTCATCCTAGCTACTCTGGAGGCTGAGGCAGGAGAATCACAAGTTCAAGGCCAGCCCGGGCAACTTAGTGAGACCCTGACCCTAAATAAAAAGTGAAAAAGAGGGTGGGAATGTAGCTCAGTGGCAGAGTGCTTGCCTAGCATGTGCAAGGACCTGGGCTCTATCCATGGTGTAGAAAAATGTAAAATAAAATACATAAGGGATATGGAATTGTTGGGCCAAAATGTGTTGAATTGGAGGCATTTTATGGTTTGTAAAGTAATGATATATCATCTGTAACATCCTAGACTCAAAAAATGTGGTGTTTGGGGCTGGAAAGATGACTTAGCAGTTAAGAGCACTGACTGCTTTTGCAGAGGACCTGGGTTCGGTTCCCAGCACCCACATGGCAGCTTGGAACCATCCTTAACTCCAGTTCCAGGGGAATCTAAAGCCCTCTTCTGACCTCCAAGGCATTGCATGACACGGGTGCACTCACATACATGCAGGCAAAACAAACAAAGAAATGTTTACAAAAACAAAACACGTAGGATTTATTTGAAAGAAAGAATTTGGGTGAGTTGCCACATACCTGTAATCTCAGCATGTGGGAGGTGGAGATGGGTATCCCCACATGTTCAAGGGTGACCTAGCCTAAGGTGCAAGACCCTGTCTCAAAAAAAAGAGAGAGGAAAAAATACTATAGTTAAAGCCTCAAACTTGTGGTGTGAATATTATTTCTTTGGGTAAAGCAGAAACAGTGAAGCCAGGCCTTCATTGATTAAATAGAAAGAGAGAAAGAAAAAGAAAGAGGGAGGGAGGGAGGACAAAGGAGAGCGTTGAGATTTGGTGTTCCCAAGCTCTAGATCAGCACTTTGCCCCTCATGGTTACAGAATGGCTACCACAGCTGTGGTCATCGTGTCCTCGGTCCACCATGTCCAGTGAGTAGGGAAGACTACACAGGCAGCAAGAACAGGTCTCCCTTAACCGTTTCTCTTTCTCCCCACCCCTACTTTTTATTTTTCAATCAGAAAAGGAAATTTGTCCATAGCAGATGGTCAGTCTCTCCTGCCTCATTAGCTAGAATTAAGTGACATGATTATCCTGAATGATCATATGAGAATTAATAAACACTGTAGCTTTTAGTTTCAGCCCCAGATTTCGTTTTTGAACATGGCTACCAAACTTACCTGCCCACGGAAAGCAACGAAAACCAGACAGCCACGGTCATCTCGCTTCCCGCCAAGCCACGCACCAAAAAGCCCGCAGCACCCCCGGCCCAGAAGAGGCTTAGCTGCTGCTATCCAGGTAGAGGGCATGTTGTGTCCTGTGTGGGTCAAGGGAGCAACCTGTCTGTCCTATGTGGGTTGTGGGAGGGACGTGTGTGTCCTGCGTGGGCCGAGGGAGGGACATGTGTGTCTTGTGTGGGTTGAGGGAGGGATGTGGGAGGGACGTGTATGTCCTGCATGGGCCGAGGGAGGGATGTGTGTATCCTGTGTGGGTCGAGGGAGGGACGTGTGTGTCCTGTGGGGGTCGAGGGAGGGACGTGTGTGTCCTGTGGGGGTCGAGGGAGGGACGTAGATCCAGTTCTAGGGCTCTTCTTCGGATTTTTTTTAACGGTACCAAGATCAGGGTCTGACACTCTGACCCAAGCTGACCTAGAATTCACTGTGTAGCCTTGGAAGGCCTTAAATTTGTGATCCTCCTGCCTCAGCCTCCAAGTGCCTGGATCACAGGCCTGTGCTAACATGCCTGGCTTCTTTGTGAATTCTTTTTGTTTTGTTGTTGTTTTGTGTTTTTTTGAGACAGTCTCCCTGTAGCTGCAACTGGCTGGGAACTCACTAGTTTGGCCAGGCTGGTCTTCACCTCACAGAGATCAGCCTCTGTTTCTCAGGTGCTAAGACTAAAGGTGTGTGCCACCATGCCCAGCCTGTTTGTGAATTCTTGACAGACATAAATGTACTACAACTGACTGGCTTAGAATCCAGGCCCCATGGCTCTGGAGCCAGCATTCATGCCTCTCCCCTGTCTTTGGTCATGCTGGGCTCTGACACTTAAAGCAACTGGCCTTTGAATTCATGGCTGTCAAGTTTCAAAATTTATTACATTTATTGTGTATGTGTATGTGTGTATACTCACATCCAAACATGCCATGGTGCACGTGCAGGAGGTCAGAGGACAACTTATCAGACTCAGTTCTTCCCTTCCACCGTGTGGGTTCTGGGGACAGAACTCAAGTCATCGAGTTTGGTGGCAAGCACCTTTACTTGCTGAGTCATCTTGCCGGCCCAGATTTGTTCTTTTGAGACAGGGTCTCTCATAGCCCAGGCTGGCCTCAAACTCTGGATCTAGCTGAGGATGACCTTGAACTCCTGGTCCTCCTGTCCCCACCTTCTGGGTGCTGAGGTCACAGGTGTGTACCACCACACCTGATTTCTTTCCTTACTGTTGTCTTCCTATTTTATTTGGAAATAATTTCAGACTTAAAGAAATGATGCATAAATAGTATCAAAAAGAAAAAAAGAAAAGCCTGTATACCTTTTACTTGAGTCTCCCAATGTGAACATTTTCCCTATATTTAATTTGTCATTATATATATATATATAAATAATTTTTTTTTCCTCTCAAACCACGAGAGGAAGTTGTAGCCAGGATCTCCCTTTTTCCTCACTGCTTCAGCAGGGAGTACCTCTGGAAGGAAGGATGCTGTCTTAGGTATCTATGATGCCATCTTTAGAGAGAGAGAACCAGCTGTGATCACACTGTCATCGGGTGTCGGCTCCTCTGTCGATGGCTCCTTGTGGTCAGATGGAGTGGTGCCCGAGCAGGCTGTGCAGAGCACATGACATGGCTGGCTGCCACCACGTGGTCAGAGAAGTATCTGCGGCTTGTGATTCCCTTTGAAATCCCTCTTCCCTTGGTTTTTTCAGGTTGCCAGTTCAAGACTGCCTATGGCATGAAGGACATGGAGAGGCACCTAAAAATTCACACAGGTAGGTGACGTATCCTTAGCCACTGTGCCCTAAACACCTGTCTTGGGCTAGAAGCTGGGGACCCAGATACTTCAATCATACAACAGGAGCCCAAACCTCACAGAGGTCATAGGAACACATATGCAAAGTGAATAAAAATGAGGTGTTATGTGGATACCAGATTAGGGCAGAAAATGTCTAACGTCATAAAAACCCAGCTTTAGGAAAGTGAGTACTCAGCTAGTGGAAATGGGGACCAACCTTGGGAACTCAACTGCCAAAATTAGTTCTTTAACATTAAACGCATGTGGCCAACTCATTCTAAGCTCAGATTGGACTGAAACTCATTGTATAGCGGAGGCTGGCTTCCAACTCTCATCTACCTGCCTTAGCCTCCTGGGATTATAGGCTTGGCCACCACACCCAGTCAAGAACCATAACCTTCAGCATTCTTTAAGTTTACTGTTTATGGGATACAGTGAGTGTATGTTATTACTATCTTTGTAATTTCTAAAGGAGAGCTTAATACATTTTGTTTTTTCTTTTAAAAGTTTTTCTTACATTTATGTGTGTGTGTGTGTGTGTGTGTGTGTGTGCACATGCATATACATGTGCATACCTCAGCCCATGTGTAAAGGCCAGAGGACAACTTGTAGGAGTCTGTTCTCTCCTTCTACCATGTGGGTCCCAGGAATTGAACTCAGGTTGTTAGACTTGACAGCAAGCACCTTTACCTGCTGAACCATCTCCCTGATCCCTTAATACGTTTTAAAAAATATTTTATTATTTTTATTTTCTGTGTATGAGTGTTATGCCTGTATGTATATATGTGCACCCATGTCATACAATGCCCACAGAGGTCAGAGGAGGGTGTCAGATTCCCTTGGAAACTGGAGTTATGGACAATTGTTAGCTGCCATGTGGGTGCTAGGACCTGAACCTAGGTCCTCTGGAAAAGCAGTCAGTGCTCTTAACCACTGAGCCATCTCTCCAGTCCCTACATTTTTGTTAAGTGAGAAAAGATCAATATGTAGAGAAAGAAAAATAAGACAATGATTTTCATTTTCCTAAAGTAGTTATAGACCTGCAGGAGATTGCTTTCAGGAACCCTCCCTCCTCACCCCCAGAGTGCCAAAGCCCAGGGATATGCAGACCCCTTCCAGGAGACAGAACAGTATCTGCATAGAGCCCATGTTTGCCTCCCATACACCTATCACTATGGATGACTTGTACATGCCACATCAATAATTCTTGTGCTGCGTTTCTTGGTGGTGTTATTATTTTTCAAATATTTTGAATCCACACAGTTGAATGTACAGATGCAGGGCCCTGTAGATACAGAGGTGAACTGTGTATTATTTTTTTCTCAGATGTTTTGCATAGAGAAATAATTGCTGCTAGGCAACTTTAAAGGAAGTCGTAGCGACTCCTATTCAAGTGAGGGTTTTTTTTCTTTTTTTAAAATATTTTGTTATTTTTATTTTATGTGTATGAGTGTAGTATGAGTGTATTGCCTGCATGTATGTGAGTGCACCTGTGTCATGAAATGCCTGTGGGGGACAGAAAACCAAGCAGCTGTCAGTGCTGAGAGACAATGGGGCCTAGAGTTTGTGATTTAACTGTTGCAATTTGATTGTACATGTGTACACATGCAATGCTAAGGATCGAATCTGAGGCTTTGTGCATTCAAGAGAAGTGCCCTACCAACTGAGCCACTTCCTCAGACGAACAAAATGATGATCTTTAAGAAATCTTCAGGTGTATTCTTAATGCCAAATGTTACTCTGAGAGAATGGTGATCAGCTCGGGCTGACGACATGGCTCAGCACTTGGCTCTGTAGGACTTGTCCAAATAAACACTTGACAGAGCAAAAGATGAAGGTCTCACTGGGTGTGGTAGCCCATGACTGTCACCCCAACACTTGGGATGTGGAGGCAGGAAGATCAGGAGGCCAGCCTTGGCTACACTGCAAGTTCAAGGCCAGCCTGGGTTACAAGAGACCCTGTTTCAAAAAATAAAGTAAAAATCCCTGCTTATACTTCACCTCCAAATTACATGCCCCAAATCACCAGCCTTTGTAACCCACTGTATAGTATTCTGCAATTTTAAAAATATTTTATTTATTCTTTTTATTTTATTTTTAATATTTTTATTTTATGTGCATGAGTGTATTGCCTGCATTTTGTAAGTGCACCCATGTTGTTCAGTCCCCGCAGAGATCAGAAAAGGGCATCAGATCCCCTGAAACTGGAGTTATGGACGTTGTTAGCTATCATGTGGGTGCTGGAACCTGAACCCAGGTCCTCTACAAAAGCAGTGAGCCATCTATCCAGCCCCATATTCTGAACTTTTTGCATTCTGACATAAGGCCTAAGACATGCACACAATTAATTTTTCCATCTCTTTTTTTAAAAATAGTTTTTATTTATTATTTTTATTTTATGTGTATGTGTATATTGCCTAGATGTAGGTAAGTGCACCTGTGTCATGTAGTGCCTGCGGGGGACAGAAGAGGCTGTTGAATCCCCTGGAACTGGAGTTACGGACCCTTGTTAGCTGCCATGTGGGTGCTGGGATTCGAACCTAGTGCATTGTTCCTGTTCATTTACTGTTGTGCATCTTTGGAGTTTCTAATTTTTTTTTTTTTTTTTTTGGTCTTTTTTGAGACAGGGTCTCCCTGTAGCCCCAGCTGGCCTGGAACTCGCTATGTAGACCAGGCTGGCCTTGAACTCACAGAGATCTGCCTGCCTCTGCCTCCCGAGTGCTGGGATCAAAGGCGAGTGCCACCACGCCCAGCTGGAGTTTCTAAATATTTTTAAACTATTTAGTGTGAGTCTGTTAATGTGCATACATACATGTCACATGTCACAGTGTACATGTGGAGATCAGAGGATAACAATTGGAGTTGGTTCTCTCCTTCTATCATGTGGGTCCCAGGGACTGAATTCAGATCGTCAGGCATGGTGGCAAGTGCCTTTGACCCATGGAGCCATCTTACCAGTCCAGTATTGTACATTTTGGTATAACAGTATGTATGTCTTTTTACTGGTCAAGTGGGGAACTGATTCAGTAATTCATGGACCATCCATAAAGTAAAATGTTTCCACCTTAACATCATGCTGTAACTGTTTAATGATGTGGAATAGATGGTGGAAATTAGCATACAAACAAGAAAGTGGTCAATAGAGGAGCAGTGTAGTATTTGGCTGAACAAACAAGAGAGAGTCCTGGGTGCTGGTGCCAGTTTTGGAAAAGAATGAACTAAAAGAATTCACTGGTACTGGCATCAGAAGGTTAAGTGTGAGCTGGATGTGGTGGCACACGCCTTTAGTCCCAGCAGAAGCAGGCAGATCTCTGTGAGTTCAAGGCCAGCCTGGTCTACATAGCGAACTCCAGGCCAGCTGGGGCTACAGGGAGACCCTCTCTCAAAAGCACCAAAAAAAAAAAAAGACTAAGTGTGTCTACAGATGGTGGAGACTGGGGATGTAGCTTGTTGGTAGAGCACTTGCCTAACATGCATGAAGCTCTGGGTTCAACTCTCGGCACTACATAAACTGGATATCACGAATGCCTGTAAGGCCAGTACTCTGGAGAGAAAAGCAAGAAGATCAGAAGTTCAAGGTCATGCTCGACTTCATAACAAGTTCAAGGCCAGCCTGAAATATTCTATCTCAAAAAATAAATACTCTGTCCCCCCCAAAAATGGGGGCTAAAGAGATGGCTCAGTGGTTAAGAGCACTGACTGCTTTTGCAAAGGACCCAGGTTTGGCTCCCAGCACCCACATGGCAGCTAACAACCAGTTCCAGGGGATCTTCTGACCTACTTGAACATGCATGACACACGTGCACTTATGTATACAGGCAAAACACTCATAGACATCAATTAAAATGAAAAAATAATTTTTAGAATTGATGTTAGCCAATAAGGTTTTTCACACTAAAGGAAGTAGACACACGTACCAAAAGAGCGAGAGAGAGAGGGAGAACATAGCTTAGTTATGTTATGGAGTACCTACCTGGTTCATTCCCTAATACCACAGGGAAAAACAGAAAAGAGGGCTGGGAGATGGCTCAGCAGGTAAAGGCATTAATATTCTGCAATTTTTGTGTGTTTCTGTGTCTATAGTGTGAAAATAAGAGCGCTTTAAGATCCAGAAAGATTTAAGTATCACACATCAAAAGATGCAGTAAGAAAAAGTATGCTAATCAGAATCCATAAGGAGCTGACAAAAGTCAGGTGGTTGAGTGTGCAGCCCCAAACAGGAAGGACATGTATAGGAGCCCCTTGCAGGCTCACACACGATGTGGAAGGCTCTGGAAACATTTCTGAAGAAGGGACGGGAACAATGTAAAAGTCAGAAAACAGCAGAACGGCTGATAGGTTTTTATTTTAAAGCTGGCCATGGCAAGGCAAGCCTTAAATCCCAGCACTTTGAATGTGGAGGCAGGATGACGTTCAAGGCCAGCCTGGGCTACCTGTCTCAATACAGTTTGTTTTTTTTTTTAATTCTAGTTCCTGTGTACTTTCAATTAAAAAGAAATTGATAGTTATCTTAGAAAAAAAAGAGCTTTAAAATTCTAAAAGCAAAGGCGCCCTGCCAGATGCTCCTTGGCAGTCATTTGCCTCTTGGGGCCTCTGCAAAATCCCTGGGGCTGGCACGTGGATCTTTCCCATTTCCTTCTTCACGTGTGTCCTGCTTCCATCTGTATGTGTGCACAAAGGCGACAAACCCCACAAGTGCGAGGTCTGCGGGAAGTGCTTCAGCAGGAAGGACAAACTGAAGACGCACATGCGCTGTCACACGGGTGTGAAACCCTACAAGTGCAAGACCTGCGACTACGCAGCTGCGGACAGCAGTAGCCTCAACAAACACCTGCGCATCCACTCGGATGAGCGGCCCTTCAAGTGCCAGATCTGCCCCTACGCCAGCCGCAACTCCAGCCAGCTCACGGTGCACCTGCGCTCGCACACAGGTAACCTCCGCTGCCCTTGGGTTCCGCCTCCTGTTCTCAGCCCAGGCACCTGCCAGCCAGTGGGCTGCCTGGAAAGAGAGGAGCTGGGATGTGGTTCTGTCAGTAAAATGCTTGCCTAGCATGCACAGGGTTGCATCCGCAGCACCTTATCATGGGGCATAGTGATGCACACCTGTAATCCCAGCATTCAAGATGTGTAGGCAGGAGGATCGACTTCAAAATCATTGTTGGCTACATAGGGAGTTAAAGACTCTGTCTCTGAAAAACAAAATTTTTTAAAGTTATTAATCTAGGTGCTGGGGATATGGTTCTGTTGGTACTACACTTGCCTAGCACCATATAATTCATTCCCAGCACCACATAATCCAGGCATGGGGGCTTGAACCTGTAATCTCAGCACTTGGGAGGTGGAGACAGAAGGATCAGGAGTTCAGGGTCATCTCTGGCTACTTAGTTCAAGGCTAGCCTGGGCTATGTGCGACCCTGCGTCAACCCCCACCCCAAAGTTAAAAAGTTGGGGTAGTCCATCATTCCTTTACCCTTATCAGCAAATGTTCTTTGTTTCCAATGAAGATACAAACTGTCTTTCAGTTCTTTGATACGTTAATTCTCAAGCATACCCACACTCATTCATTATCTGGGGGTGGAGTAGCAAATTGAGATGCAGAGGAAATCAAGGTCAGGTGCCCAGGTCACAAGAGCACATGGTTCAGTGAGTTTGGCAAGGTTAATTAACAGTCATTAGTCCAGATTCTGTCCATTTTATAAGAATCATTCCTACATAACACCATCCCTAGGACCTCTATAAATCTCACCTAGCTCTAGGATATGACTGAGAGACCAGGACTGTATGAACCGAGCCAGGTCAGGAAAGGGCAAGGAATCTGGTCCCCCATACCTGACATGGTGTGATACGGCTACATGAAGCCAGGACGGGGACAGTGAACCTGCTCCTGGGAAGGGGTGAGATGAGAACCCTACCTACCACTGGTTCTGAGTGTGCTGGAATCTGTCTGGGCAGATCCTCCCAGGTCCCTTTGCTCAGGGGACACTTCTTGATTCTAGGGTTAGTTAACTGTGCTTCTTGGCTATGCCTTTCTGTCACTCTCCCTGGCCATATCTGAAAAGAGCTAGAGGATATACTTTGAAGGTCTCAACCAGAGAGAGAGAGAGAGAGAGAGAGAGAGAGACAGAGAGAGAGAGAGTGTGTGTGTGTGTGTGTGTGTGTGTGTGTGCGCGCGCGCGCGTGCGCGCGCGTGTGCAGGTACACATCCTTGCAGAGGCCAGAGGAGGACAGCCTCAAGAGGATTTTTTTTATAATTTTCTTTTAGCATAGAACAGTAACACTTTTAATAATATAGTCATCTTTAAAATTGTGAATAACCTGCATATCTCAATGGTTTAAACTTTGTGGGCTTCCTGTGCATCTGCATGCCAAGCCCCACAACATTTTTAATAGTCAGGTTTCTGTTGTTGTAATAAAACAATGACCAAATGCAACTCGGAGAGGAAAGGGTTTATTTCACCCTACAGCTTACAGTCTATCATCAAGGGTAGTCAGGGAAGGCACTCAAGGCAGGAGCTTGAAGCAGAGACTGTGGAGGATCACTGCTCACTGACCTGCTCAGCTAGCTTCTTATACAATCCAGGACCAACTGCCCAGGAGTGGCACCACCCATGGCAGCCTGGGTCCTCCTACATCAATTAGCAATCAAGAGAATGCCACACAGACATGCCCACAGGCCAGTCCGGTGAGGGAACACTTTGGTGGGGCAGTCCCCTTTTCCCAGGGGTGTCAAGTTGATACTCAAGCCATCACAGCATCCTTTTTGAACAAATCTTGCCTCTTTTAAACTCAGCTGTTAGTCATTTCTTCCTCTAACTATTAGTGGGTACTAGAAGCCCTTCCGACCAGCACACCTGGGACTGGTACGTCAGCTGGGCACCAGCTTAATTCATTTGGATGCTTGGGCAGAATCTTACATTAGAACTCTCTTTTCTCAGTTGGTTTTCACCCAGAGGTCTTTTTCATGGGCCTGAGCTTGATGCCCAAGCTTTTGTCTTACTTTGAACAGCTTTCTGGAGGAACTGGAGAGATGGCTTAGCAGTTAGGAACACTTGCTACTTTAAGAGGACCCGAGTTTGGTTCCCAGCACCCATATCAAGCAGCTCACAACCAACTGCCTGTAACTCCAGCCCCTCTTCTGGCCTCCGTGGGCACTGAACACACACATGCATACACACACAGACACATACACATAAATTAAAAATTAATTTAAAAAAATTTAAAGCTATTGGAGATGAGTTTTACAGATGCTAGCTAGAAATGACAAATTATGTTCAGAAAATCTTTGGCTTCCCCTTCAAACTCTGCTTGGAAATGTTGAGTTCTTTTTTTAAGAAACTATTCTCTAATACCTAGTAATAAACACCTTCCAGGTCACTTCCACAATTCTGTCTAGACTATATCTTTACTGAGTACATTCTCTATCCTCTAAGTGACAAGTGACAGTTTGACAGAACACTTGCTGCTTGATGTTTGCTGATCAATGTGAATCGCCGATTTTGTAACTTATATCCCTAAGCTCACGCTGACAGCTCTGGTCCTCTGCTTTGGCAGTCTCCCATCTCCAGGTACCAGTATCTGTACCATGACTGCCATAGTGACGTGGTCCAATAAAACCCCTGGAAACCTCTGCAGATGCAACAGCATACCTTTTCCATCCTCCTGGTGGGGAGCAGCTGAGGCTCCTTAACCCTGTCCTCAGCTGGGCTATCTTTTAAGTCTGAGACTCTAGAGGCTGGCTGTGGTTGGAGTAATCTACCTGTGCACCATGTGTCCCCCATCCTTCTCCTAGGACTAGTGGGCTCGGCGAGGAGTAACCTTCTCATGACAGTGACCAAGGTGTGAGTAACAAAGTCCCAGCGACAAAGCCATGTCAAAGCACGTGTTAAGACATGTTCTGTAATCCCAGCACTTGGGAGGTAGAAGTAGGAAAATCAGGAGTTCAATACCATCTTTGGCTAGGTAACCAGTTTGAGGAGTCCCTGTCTCAACAAGCCCCCCAAAAAATCTTTGTGTCAACTCTACTTGATGCTTCTAAATAACATTGGCCAAACCCAACCCCACAGTCACAGTCCAACCTGCTGAGAGTCTTGACACCTCACCCTACCATTGTTGGAAGGGCATGCATGGTTACACAGAAGTCAGGGAGGGTTGGGAGGTGGGAGATTTGGGGACATTTGTGTAATCTACTGTGGCGGGTTAAGATGTTAGCGTAACTGGTGCCCAACAGATCGTCTTCAATCTGTTTCTGTTTTCTTCAGTCTGGTTCTGCCTTGGTAGCACACACCTGTAATCCCAGCACCCAGCTGAGGCAGGAGGATCAAGATTCAGAGCCAGGGCTAAGGAGATGGCTCCGTGGATAAAGCCCTTGCTGTGCTATCCATGTAAAACCTGGTGGGCAAGCATGATGGCCTGCCTATAATTCCAACGCTTGAGAGGTGGAGACAAGGGAGGCCTGGGGCAGTAAACAGGCAAGCTCCAAGTTCACTGAGAGACCCTGCCTCACTGAATAAAGAGGAGAGTGATGGAGGAAGACACCCAACATCAACTTCTGGCCTCGACACGCATGTACACATAGGTTCATACACACACGTGCACACACATGAGAATAAGGTATATACAAAAATAAGAGTTCAGAGCCAACCTGAGCTACATAGTGGGACCACATCTTATACAACAACAACAAAGGTTCGTTTTGATGTCTATGGATGAACTTAACCATTGATAGTCACATCTCTAGACTGGTGTAGAAAGGCGTGTTTCTAACTGTTGGAATGTGTGCCAGTTGTGCGTTGTCTCCATGCAATGTTCGTTTTTTTCTTCTGTCCACTTGTGACACTTGTGAGATTTTTAAGTTAATAGAATTCTGTTTTGACCTGTGGTCAGTCTAATGTTTTGTATCACCAATCATTTCATTAGCAACTTAAACTCAACAATACATCTGTCCTTCACTCATTCAACATTTCTCGATTCCTATTCTGGATGCTGTGGGGATAGAGGTGGGGGACAGAGTACTCACTGACCATTGAAGAGCTTACAGCTGGATAGGACTGTGACCAGTACACAACATTTAAGAAATAAGTTTAGGGCTGGCAAATTGGCTCACTAGGTAAAGGCACTTGTTGCTAAGCCTGACAACCTGAGTTCCATCCTTAGGAATCACATGGTAGAGAGAGAGAACTGACTTCTGTAAGTTGTCCTCTGACTTCACATACATGCTGAGATACACACACACACACACACACACACACACACACGAATAAATTAGAATGTAATAAAAAATCCAGATATAATAAAAAAATTTTAAAGAAATAAATTTATGATTAAAGAAAAATCATGGCACAGTGGGGCATACCTGTAATCCCAGTACTTGGAGGAAAGTGGAAACTGGAAGGTTAGGTAGGAGTCATCCTCAGCTACATAGTAAGTTGGAGGCCAGCCTGGGTGTGTGAAACCCTGTCTCAAAACAAACAGAAAAAGGATCTACATACACCTTTGCTTTCTTGTCAGAAAGTGTTGTTAACTTGGCAACCTAACTGGGATTTGGTTAGCTGGTTTTTCTGAATTTTACCACCAATGACTGCTTTTTTTAATAAAAGGGGAGGGGGTGGCTGTGGCTTCAGCTGTCACCAGGGCGACACTGTGATTCATAACAGCCATGCAGCTGGGTGAAAATATCTTTTGCATCTTTCTGTATAGAAACTACTGTCATTAGGAGACCTGCCACTAGCGGCTTGTTTAATCCTGACAAGTTAGTCGCACACATCTCCTCCTTACAGTTCTCCTCTCTGAGTAGTTAATAGCCAGTTCACGGTAATTGCTTTTTTGTGTATTCTTGTTTTTATTTTAGTTTATTTAGTGCATTTGATGCTTCATTCTTAGCAGGGTTCCATGGGCTTCACCAAACTTCCAGAGGGGGTAACAGCATACAAAA